GCCTCTCCCTAAAGTGTATAGTCTGTGTGTGGTTGGCCTGAGGGAGAAAATGTTGAGTTCCTGAAGTCTGGCATATGCTCTTCAGCTCTGCTGGATTGTGGTCAATTTTGCCTTTGCGAATGCCGCAGGCTATAGTCTCTCTTGACTTGAGATTTTTCTTGGGCTATAAATTTAGAGATTGTTGTGGTGATAGGTACCCAATGTCAGGAGCTGCCTAGACCAGGGAAGCAAAATGGTACATTTGGAATAACTTCTAGGGGGGTATTGAGATGTTATGCCTTCCTCAATTAAAAAAAAAAAAAATTTTTTTCTGATTTCCTTAACCTAATATGTGCTTTTGTTAAAACAAACAAACTCAAGTCTAGAAGAGTATAAAAAAGAAAGTATCAATCACAGCAAATCTGACCACTATATTTTAGTAAATGCTCTTTCAGAAATCTTTCTCTACATGTGTATATCTGTGTATATACATGCCATTTCATAAACTGAAAGTCTCCATACGTTTTATTTAATAAGTTCCTTTTGATGGATAACTAGATTGTTTCCAACATTTTAGGACAGAGAATTTCATGCACTTGACTAATTAATTTTTTCTTGGGATAAGTTCCTTGAAGAAGGATTCCTAAGTCAAAATGTATGTACATTTTAAATGCACCCCAATAAGATGTTATCAATTCATAATTCAACTAACATTGCACAAAACTTTTGCCAAGGTGTTCATTCTTTTGATCTCTGTAGAATTACATTACATCCACTGAATCTGAAAACTAGAATGAGGATGAAACTTAGATTCCCTTTTGATCTTCATCCTCAGCCTAGAAATCACTTGGAATATCAATCCAAGATCTTACCCTTGGTTCACAGGCACAACTCTGATTCAACAGATGTTACATCTGAGTTATAAGAGACTTTAAAAGACATCTGTTCTGAGTCACTCCCTTCTCTGTTTTTTGAGCAAATCAGGTATCATTTTCTCCATTTTACATAAGACAAGGAACCACCCCAGTTTATACAATGGTTAGTGGGAAGGTCAAAGCATCAGCCTCTTACCAAGCCCTGAAATTCTCTATTTCTTAAACAATGAATAGCTTTGAAGGCACAGAATGCATTTCATCAGGTAGGGAAATATTGAGATATTTCTTTGAAAAAAAATATTTGGCAACTGTGGAAATGTGGAGATTCTGTTGTCATGTTAATAATTGTAGGGGAGGCTTTTGCACACAGGTTGACCAATTACGCTTCAGTTAAGTCCTGAGTGTAACTGAACATTGCTCTTCGCCCCCAGGTTCCTGTCCATGACAAAGCAGGGTCCGGTTAGAGATACCGAGGATAAATAACAACTTTTCCAAAGTAATCATTTCCCTTTCCTAACACATTTAGCAGTTGTGGAATTGAAGAAAGAAAAAAAATTGGGGGACCTCAGGTACAATGAATTATGAGACAAGGATCTTTAATTATATCTTGTTCCTATAGTAATTATTAGAGAATTGGCTGATTTAAACAATTTAGATTGTAAAAGCAAAAATTGATAGAATTCTAAGAAATAGAACAATCCTAGTAGATATTAACTTATAAATCATCTCAGGAAATGATATATTAAGCAGCAAAAAAAGCCAAATTTCATAAATGCAAAAATCCTAGATCAAATTTTAACAAATTGCATCTAATAATGTTTGCAAAATTACATAATGTATTATAGTAATAACATTCATCGGGTGTTGGGCAGGTGGGAGAGGGGAGGAGGGGATGGGTATATACACACCTAATGGGTGCGGTGCGCACCATCTGGGGGATGGACACGCCTGAAGATCTGACTCAGATGGGGCAAGGACAACATATGTAACCTAAATATTTGTACCCCTGTAATATGTTGAAATAAAAAAATTTTTTTAAAAATTACATCATGTACAAGTGAGGTGTATCCCAAGAATGGAAGGATAATTTAACTTTAAAATATATTCTTTAAAGTAATTGTCTGATAATTTACACATTAATGAACAGAAAAGCTACATGATCATATTGATAGATGTAGAAAAGATTGTGAAAACTTTTAACACCAATTAATGATAAAAAATTATTAGCAAACTAAGGAATTTCTTTAACATAATTAAGGATATTTGTAAACACTTTTGGAGTCCAGAGCTGCTCTCTCTGCCCCCCTGCCCTCCTGTCTCTGGCCCCTCATTCTCCCCGGAGGCTAGCCATGGAAACTAGAATTCTTCTTTCTCAAGGTGAGTCATAGAAACCAGAACCCATTTTCCCCAAAGCCAGCCATAAAACCTAAAAATATTACTCTGACTCTCCACCTGACTTTCTGTGTAAAAATTGTCCATAAAGAAATTATCTGATTTACCTCAATTGACTGTAGGATCCCCATTCCAGAGAGGGTCCTGCCCCATACCCAGAAGGAAGGAAAGCTGCACAGAGAAGCCAAAAAGAATCTAGACAGACAGGTCTTACCAAGTTTCTCTGCTCAGTCTATTAGGGTTAGATCATACACTTTTTGTTCAATCATATTTCTACACGGCTGTCCATACTTCGTTGAACCTAAACATAAAAAATCAACAATTTCCCCTGTATCTTTGGGTCTTCATTCTGAAGGCTCCCGTGTCATGTAAAATTATGATCAAAAAAATGTGTATGCCTTTCCTCCTATTAATTTACCTTTCGTCAGTGATTTTCAGTGAGACTTCAGAGGGTGAAGGGGAAGCTTTCCCTGGCCCCTACACCCACATGATGCATTATATGTAATAGTGAACTTTGAGTAGCATTCTCTTTGAAGTTAGGAACAAGAAAGAATGCCCATTATCCTGCTTCTATTTAACACTGTACTGGAAGCCCTATCCTAGGAAATAGATCAAGAAAGAGAAATAAGAGGGATGAGGACTGGAAAAGAAGGCACAAAGTTGATATTAATACTTTCTGATGACACAGTTGTAAAAATTGAAAATCCAAGGAAACCTACAAATTATAAGAACTAATAACTATAAGAACTAATAGCAGGATGCAAGATCAATATTAAAAAATCAGTGGATGTTTCTATATGCCAGCCATGATCACTTAGAACAAGATAATTTAAAAAAATTATCTCTTTTTAGTAATTTTTAATTTAAAAAATATCTGTTGCTATTGTTGCATTTATAATAGCAACAGAAATTATATGATACATAGGAATGAATCTCATAAAATGCATGCAAACAATTATGAAGAATAGTATAAAGTTTTATTGAAGACCAATGTAAAGGAAGTGATATATCATGTTCATGATTAGGAAGACACAATATTTATAAAGATATAACTTCTCCTAAAATTAATATATAAATTCAAGGTATCACAATCTAGTTCTCAATATAATTTTTTTTAGGAAGCTTGATAGGCTCATTTCAAAATTCATATGATGAATAAATGGCCAAGAATAGCCAGAATAATTTTAAAGAAAGGTATGATGGTATGGGAATTAATATACCAGATAATAAGACTTGTATAAAGTATTGTAATAAAACAGTGAAGCACTGGGGCAGAGATAGATAAACAGAAAAATGAATCAGAAGAGAAGCTCTAAGATTTGGGCATAGAGACTTGGAAGATGACTAAGATGGCATAAAAGATAAGCAGCTAAAGACAAGTTATGCAGATACAAGATGAACTAATCAGGGAAATGGAAATTAAAATAGCAAAAATATATCATTTTCTGTTCATCAAACTGTCAAAAATTAAAACATGTGATGAGACCAGGTAATGATAAAGGTGAAGAGAAATGGGAACTCCTACTGATGGCAGGGGAATACATTGGTACAAATACCTTGAAAAGACAGCAATTTGTCAATATCTAGGAAATGCTAAGATATGCATTGTACATGACCTAACAATTCCACCTTTAGGGATATATGCTGGAGAAGCTCATACAAGATGAGATTGACATAGGAATGCTCATTGCAGTCACTTCTAATAATGAAAATAAAAATTTGATCAGAAGCTATTTGTATCTCAAAAACCCAATGCTGAGTGAAAAAAAACCTAAAGTGCATAATAATGTAGACTATTATTTATGTAAAATTCACAGACACCCCAAATGATTGAATGTATTATTTATGGATACATAGATATAAGGTGAATGCATTTTAAAAACAGCCAGCAAGGATGTATAATAACTGCAGGATTGTGGCTACCACTAAAGAGGGAAGTAGAACATTTGGTTGCTGAGGGGTGTAAATTGCCATATCTCCTTATCTGTGGTGTTCACAAATCTGTGATTTGTTAAAAAAAGAAAAGGGCATAGAACAGATAAGGTAAAATATTTATAAGATTTGGATGTTGGTAATGGGTCTTTGTTATGTTTATGTAATTTTCAAGGGTTCATGAAATATTTTATGCAACAAATAAAAGATCATAAATGGATGAGTTAATCATAGCTGGTTTTAAGTGAAGAAGTAGGATAATTCAAGGCAGGAAGAAGCAAACAAAAAAAAAATAAGAATCTTTGGCACTAAGTTTGTGGCTTCAATTTCATTTGAAAAAGTTGATCATTATCTCAGATTTGGAAACTGGTTTGGATTGTTCTTGGTTTTTCATAGGAGAACGTCCAAGGACGTTCTGGGTGCTTCCAAGCATGTTTGCATTTTCAAGGCTCAGGTCTGGCAAATGAATAAAGACTAGGGGAAGTTAGGACAGTGGAGAGAGATGCAGAATTTGGCTCAGTTGGGAGCAAGGTTCAGTTTTGATTTAGAATTAGTGGGAAAATAAAATCAGAGAAGCTGTTGAAAGATGACTGCAAAAATTCATGCCTGAAAAAAAAGCTATGGGTAAGAGTGTCGTAAGATAAATGTTTTAGCATGTGTCTGCATATTTTATTTCCAGAGAGGCTTAAAGTGCTGTTTTTTTCATTTTCTTTTAAAAATCATGTTCTAATAAGGTTTGTTGGAACACAGAAAAGAACTTGTCTTAAGTTGTATTTTTCATGTAATACATGTTTCATATACATACAAAAACCCTCCAAAAATCATTGCTCAGGAAATAATTTATTAAGTCAATTTAAACATTGCTACCATTGCAAAAGCATTTGCTCTGAAAAAGGATTGAAAAATGCATCATAAAGTTACATAGTTCAGCAACAGTATCAATATTGATCATGTAAAGTAAAACTGGCAAATGTCATTTAAGCTCACCTTGTAATTTTTAATAATTTTATAAGGACCAAACATATCACCTTAAAAATGTACCTGTGGCATTTACAAATTCTTTCAAACACATTTATAAATACAGTAATAAAAATTCCTGAGCTCCTTTTTCTCATACCAGTGTTCACCAACCAACATCCACAAGGTGTTTTATTTGACTGACATCCTCTTGCATTTCCTTAGAAAACACTTTATTGCATTCATAAAAATACCTGTGCTTCAAGTCAGTTTGTAAGCGTACATTTTAATGTGAATCGGATCATAACACGAGAAAAATGCTTGTTAGCTTGAGCAGCAGGAGTTGAGGGGTGGTGTTGGGAGGGTGGAGGACGTTGTAGATGAAAGAATTCCAGTTTGGACATTGGGACCTCCAAAGTAGAATACATTTGACAATGTGAAAAACAGATCCAGTTTCACCTGCATGATTTGAAGGGACTCTCAAAGGTAAAGCCAGTAGGATTTGCTCTTCCCATATTCTGGCCAGGAAGGTCCCTGCTGGGATCTCTTCAATAACCCTATATCTTAAATTCCCCCAGTCCCATCCCTGCCTCCTCACCCCAAGACTTCAAGGTTTCCCTTAAATAGAAGTTGGGGATATCCCAGCCCCTAGAAACTTGGTGAGATTTAAAACCCATACTTGATTAGTAAGTTGCAGGAAGTGTGACAGGGTTAAGGTTTCAGATGGGGTTCTGGCAAGATGTGGCAATATACAATTTCTGTTTTCTTTCAGGAAAGCACATGCAATACTTTTGGAAAATTAGCTCCATAGTACTTCTTCAGCTCATCATGAATTGTATGAATCCTGTGTCTGGTGACAGATACTTCAAATTTTGTAGCTTAAAAACAAAAGTGGGCCCAAGAATTAAAGACAGATGGCTCTAATGTACACAGGGGAGAGTCAGTATTTTTTTTTTTTTTGACTGAAACCAAGTTTTAGAGCATGACACTCTCATAAGAAAGAAATTTCTCAATCTTTTGTAAGACATGGCATTAAAGAATTAAGAGGAGGCAGAGAAGAATTTTTCAAACAAACCATTTCACAATTTTGTAACAATTCTGTAACAGTAGTGAAGATTTCTAGGTCTACATCCATTAAACGTAAAAGGTTATCCATTTACACTTCATCTGATAAATTTTGTCAGCAAAGACCTTAATAATATGGATGAATAGCAGCATTCAAAGGGAATCCGTGTTTTTAAAAAATGGTTTGGCGCTTCCTTTATTTCACGATATTTAAATGAGCTTCTCTTATTAGCTCTCTACGCACCTGGTTCCATCTTGCCTTCTATAGTGCAGCCTCTCATGTGAATGCGCTGAGGTAAGGGAGGGAAAGTTTGTCTTGCAATCGTATGGAAGGACGAAGAGAAAGGGGAAAAATTGTTTTGGTTCAACTTGTATAAATAATATCCTGGATTACAGATCTTTTAGCGGCAAAAAACATTCAAGGAAATTGTTTTAGCCGCACACATGTTATTTTGCTCATCTCCATTTTAAATGAAAAAAAAAAAAATAGAGGAGGGGCAGGCAAGGGAAATACACATTTACTGTGCCAGGCACTGAGCTGGGTATTTTCAATAATGATATGAATAGAGATATAACGACCATATTATACTGGGATGTCTAAGATTTTGTTTGGCAAGCATTGTTTTTGGCATGCAGTAAAAATGAAGATGTTATGATAATGGCAATTGGCATAATGTCCCCTTGTATTGACAAAGCTTTAACTATCTGTGTTGTCCTCTCATGATAAAAGGAGACAAATTAATAAATTCATACAAAACAGAAAGCACAAAGTGCAATAACCAAAGATTTGCAGAATGAAATATGCAAGATAACAAATCAGATGACTATAGTCTTCTATAATTCTTTAGGGCTAAAAAGAAAAAAAATAGACATTATGATAGCTATATGCAGAAATGAATTTTTAAAATAAAAACAAGATTATTTCTAATAAATGGATGACTTTTCCCATGCCATATTATATCTGATGGCTAAAATCAAATAAGGAAAAGATTTGTTTCTAGGGGGGTTGAGGAAATCAATTTGTAGGCAATATCATGGCTTTGGACAACTACCTTGAGGAGACTTATAGTTAGAAAAAATCTGCAACTCTATGGTCTTGTAATGTTTTTCATCTGATAATTTAATACGTATTCTTTCTGAACTTGTCAGCCAGTTTTTATAAAATGTAAAAATGTAAGTATGGTTATTCAGACTCCATAGCATAAACCTGCAAAGTAGCGAATTAGAAAGTGTATTTTCTTTTCAAAACAAAACAACACAACAAAAAACAACCCCAGCAACTTATCGTAACAATCACTTCTAATTTCTCACTTAATCTCAAAGAATTTTGCTTGGCATTTTCTAGGAAAAGAGGAAAGGCAGAGGTAGTGATAGCTTTGAAAATATGGACCTTTATGCTATTATATAGCTACACTTCAATATGGCTTTACAGGAGACACAATCACCCAACAGGCTGGTTCTAGATTGCTTTGGTTTCCACATGAGACACTTCTATTGTTGAACATGAAAGCACAAAAGCAAGCCTCATGATGCAAGTAACACTCAAGAAGCTATCAGCAGTCACATGAAGCAAAGCCAAGGGGTTGACTTTTAAACAATTTTTAGATTGTACTTTAAACAGTTAATACTCTAGAGCAGCTGTACAATGAATGGCATATGATCCTACTTCTACACAAAGAATAAGAAAAAAATTAGTATATTCACAATTTCAACAGAAATATGTGATTACATATGTTTTCAGTTTTCTTCACAGACACAGACACAATCATATTGAAACTACATATGGATAGATTGTAAGTCATTAAATATTGATTTTCATTTGTATTACATGACGAGTTTCACAACATGACGATTATATATTTCAACGTGGCATATACTATTTTTGAACCACATAAAGTGATATAATACAAAACAATATAACAGTTATGGTTACTTGAAATTCAGAAATGTCACATGGCAAATACATCAAATATGCCACCGAAAAATAGTCAAAGCATGAGACGTGACATCTTTTCTTTCTAAACTACAAGCAGCTTTGAAGGAAGAATGTTAGGATATGAAGGGGAGGTAGTTACTTTTAAAAATTCAAAATCTGTTTTTTTACGAATTTTATAAAATAAATTATTTTTCAGAGGTATCTTTGCCATATCATTTTTCAATTTTAGATAACACAATAAAAATAATTTCCCCCCAGGATTTGCAAAATGTGCACAGAATAGTTCAGACTGTATTTTGAAGTTTATTCAGGTGAAGCATAATTTGACCATAATAACTATTAAAGGTTATTTTTGATATTACTACTTCAGTTGCTAAGGTTTTTCGAGTTGTTTTTTTTTTTTAATCAGCAGCAGGTAAAATGTTAATTAATAGATTAAGATTATCTGAGTTCTTCTATTCATTGATCACAACCATATAAATGGGACAAGTGTTTCTACTTTACATGTTTTAGTGCTTTCTAAATTGAAATGGAGCAAAAATCAAAGGAATTGATATAGACAGCACGGCCGCTGGTATATGAGAATGCAAATTATGTACATCTCTTAGCCATAAACTCAGAACACTAAATAGATTGTAGATTCACTATGTCCAATAGAATTATGTTTAGTGGGCCACTTGGCATTTTGTAAAATCCTGAGATGCCCAAACTTCTGGAAACATTTGATTTTCAATTTTTCTATCTTTCTCCTTTCGATGAAATAGATATGATGAGGGTCACAGACCAAAACTCATCTTTCTGAAAATCAAAAGTCTAGGGAGAGAACTCCTGTTTGATTTTCAGATGATAATTTGCTAATCATAAGTCCAGGTCATAATTATAAATAGAATTTCTGGTTAGATCTGAAGCAATAATTCTGTGTTTTTAAATTTCTCCTTAAGACCTCCAGTATCTAGACATCAACATAGTTTGGATTTATTAATGGCCTTTGAATTAACTAAATAATTAATGAACATGGTCTCAAATTTCTAAGCATGCAAATCTCTAAATGGGGTGTACGTGTGACCTTCAACTTGGTCTTGGGTATCTGCGTGGTTGATTTAACCTTTGGCATAGTCCTTTGCAGGGCCAAATTCATTGTTCATAAATAATTTCATTTTTTGCAGATCCTATGGTTGCTACTAAGTCTTAGGAAAAATAATATACCCTGAAGGGAGGGAATAAAAAGACTACAAGTATGTAAAGCTAGGGAGAAAGAAGAGAAGCAAGGGTGTTAAATCAATCTGATTCGAAGGAGTGGATCTCTATTTTTCTATTTTCTGCATTGTGACGCACTGTCCCATGTTCACTGCTCAGTCCAAAGGCTTGTCAGCAATACTTTCTTGCACTATACCTGGGCATTTGACCTGAAATCCTGGATTTTCCTCAGATTGTGAGAATCAAAACCAGAGTTGCAAGAGGTTTAAGAAACCTTTTACGCCAACCCACTTATTTAACAAGTGAGAAAACTGGTGACCAGAGTTTAAAGGACCTACCGAAGGTCAGAGAGCCTATTTAGTGGCAGTGATGTGACTTAGTCCTGGACATTGAGTGCTCTGTCACTCTCCTAGCGACAACACTATTGTGCTTGAGCCAAAAAGGCAGAAAAGGAATTTTGTTCACTGAAGTACACATGAAGTTTTCATCAACAGCAAAGCTGTGTTTGCAACAGTGGGGATGGTGATTCAAAATCATTAATATTTTTCTGTCTGTGTACAAAGTTCCAATGTGTGTGCATTTTCCTTTCAGGCCTAGGCATGCAGTTCAATGACATTTAGAAGTGCATCGATATGTTTTACAATTGAGAGTTTCAAATCACAGTGTGGCAGGCTTATCCCCAAATCATAGCCAGACTCCATTTTTTTAATCAGGCAAAGTAAGTTACACTATTCACATCAGCTCTGTGGTAATTCAATTAAATAATACATAAAAATTTGCTGAACATTGGCTGGTTGGTTTTTAGACCATTTTTTTTTGTTCCCTGTCTGGCTTTTTCTCTTTCCATCTCCCCATTCAGTTACATTAAAAAATCCTTATAAGGTAAAGTTTACTTTCTAATCAGTATACTTTTCTTGCAAAAGGAACACTTTTTAAAAATAAAACTGAAGGAAGGCACTTTGTAAAATGTGTACAAATCTGTTTCTTTCTTGTCTACTCTAAGGAGATAGGGAAGTTGCTAAAGGCAGAGCCTAGTCTTTCTGCAAATGATGGGCAGCCAGACTTCCTCCACACTGTGTCCGGGAACTAGGGTGCCTCTGGTTGATCATTAACTCACAGGATTCTCCAAATCGGTTGGGTCAACACAGGACAAGGAGTCAAACTGCCTGGATCTCATACCAAACCAGTTAAAGGGAGACTTCAGTATATGCTTGACTAACAGGATTGGTCTTAGGCACTTAGGAAAATGCAGAGTCTGTGAAATATTATTATATAAATATCATTAGAGCAATGCAGAATCTTAAATATCTGACACAGTTGGTACTAACTTGTACTCATATTAGGGGGTCTTGTGTACATTTGTTAAAACTGACCAGAGAACATTTTGCTGCTTGGCTCATAAGTTTCCATAAGTCACTCATTGACTAGATCCAGTTTCCATGTGCTTTCCAACTGGACTCGTTAGGTATTTGTTTATAAAAATACAACTTTTTATAACTTAGAGCATACTGTGCAATAATCGTTCATAATTTATCATGAGAGGAAAATATTAATAGCCAGATAGAGATTTGAGGCTGTTGGACTCAGCAAGAAATGAGTATGGCTTAATTCAGTACAAGATCATATTTCTAAAGATTAGTGCCTTATTCAATGTTTCTTTTCTATCTCATGCTTCTTCTTTCTACACATATATTTGCATATAATCTTAGAATATGATTCTGTACCTACATCACTTATAAAATGCATGTGCGACATATTAAGATCAACTGGAATGTATGATTTAAAAAGTGAAGTGTAATGAGCACATCACTGAAAATTACTTTGTAATTCCACGATAAGAGCAATTTTTTGTCAGTTTAATTAAGATATGAGGCATTAGTTTTAATTATCTTTGAAGGAAAATATTTAGTAAGTGATGAAATCAAGGAGTCAGAGAGTTCAAAAGGACCTTAGAGATTATTTGGTCCAACATCTTCAGAGGAAACTGGAGCTCAGAGAAGGGAATTGGTCTCTCTAAGGCAGAACAGTTAGGACTAGAACCCAGTATGTACCCTTCCATTTGAACAGCTGTCTCCTTGATAGAAAATATGTTAGGCCATAAAAAACCTTAATTCAGATAATGCTAATTGACCATAGAATTAAAATCTTGACTTAGAGATGCTAATTAGAGATTTAGTTTCTCAGAGATTTAGTTTGAGTCTTTAGCCAAAACACTTTTCCACATATGAAAATTATATGTCAAAAGCAGATTATTTTTAAGTTTTCAAGCTACAGGAATGATTGATATATATCTTAGAGAAGAAGAGAAGAATGAACTATTGTTTGGCAAAGTTTAGCCTGTATTGGCTTTGAAGATCATTGTCTTTGGTCAACGCCTCTCAAAGTGGACTGTATTCCCTAGCCCTCTTGGAAGTTTTGTGTACTTTTGTAAGTCATCCTCTTATGTTAATTCACATAAGATTAAGTACTAAATGGATCTTAAACCACTAATATAATCCTTACATACAGTGTTGCTCATTGCAAGTCAAACAGTCTTGATCTGTACTTTCCAAGAGAGGGTTGTTTCTGTGCACTAAAATGACCTTTAGTAGAAATGGACACCTAGGGAAGTGCTTCTCAAATTTCAAAGTGCATGTGAATAGTCTGGACGTCTTAGTAAAATAAAGATTCTGATTCTGTAGGTCTGAAGTGGGGCCTAAACTTCTGCAAACAGAATTTCCAAACAGCACTCAGGTGATGCTGATGCAGTTGGTCCCCAGACATTTTGGGGATAAAGGATCCAGGGGACTGAATGAGCTTAGACAACTTTTCCACACACTTCTCTCAGTCACAGGATGTTTTTTGTATATTGGGAAAACAGAACTTTATATCTATCGCTTTTGCAATTCTGAAATCACTGGCAATGTCTTCACTCTCAAGCATCGGGGAACCTCTGAGTCCAGCTCCTATCAATATGGGCTTTTAGGGGTGGAAGATTTAACTCACAGAGGTATGCTCAAGTTCTCTGTGTTTAGCTAGTAAATGGGCAATAGAGAATGGATTTACCATCAGGCAAAATGCAAAACAGAGGGAGACAATTTGCACACATAGATGGATGACTCCTTTAAAATGAAGATCCAAGCTTTGTCCCCTGTTGAGGAGCCTGGCCTTGGAACTGACATGGAAATTCTTACTACCAGACCCTGACCTTTGGAGTGGTTCCCATCGCTCTACAAATGACTGGTTTCCTAGAACTTTTATTTGGACACTTCTGATGTAAGTGCCATCTTTGCCAAGATTTTGCAAATGGATCTACTTCAGAGAGATACTAACTCCTGATTTGGCTTACTTTTTTTTTTCTTGCCAAGATTTCTCAGAAAAACCAAACCAAACCAAACCTCTCTCTCCGAAACAGCATATTAGAAATTGCCACTTTCCTTTTTCATGGTAGCTTTAGGAAGATTCACTCATAGATGGAAAGAAGCCCTAGAGTGGCCCAAAGATCATAGAAGAAATAATTTCTGGTCTGTAGAGAGTCCTAAAACCCTAGGTTGGTAGTGGTGGGAGTTGTTGTTGGAGACAAAAAGAATCAGATAAACTACACTACATGGTGTTGGAAACTGAATTTTGTCATCCACTTTATATTCCTCAGTGGGCTTTGGGTCGCTATGGCATTTTACTCCATAAACAGGGACTGTATATCCTACTATGTGCTGTAAATACTCATTAAACTTTGTAGCAGAAAATACTGTACCCACTGAATATGTAAACAGCTGTACTGGGAAGATAGAAAATATTCTTTTATTTTACCTAAGTGATAGAAAAATAGTCTTCAAAAATACAAGTTAAGCTTATGGGTTTGTATTAAAGTAGAATTCATATGTACAGTAAGGCAGTATCTCCATTAGCATTCTGCTGTAATTATCTTTTAAATTAAAGTTAGTCTTTTGGGATTTTTTTTTTCTACTATTATGCTGAAATGAAGCAGGAAAACATCCTAAAAGGGTTCACCACATGAAATTCATTTGCCTCTTGTATAAGAAAATTTTAATTGCCAAAACTATATTCTCTGGTGGCTTTAGAATAAAATAAAATTTAGGGGGAGAAATCTGTGTTTAATTATTCAACAATTTTAAGAAAAAATTGGAGGCATCATTTTACTTGCATATGGCAACATGTCTGCAAAGTGTAGGAGCTGAAGTAAACAATTTGTCAGGTATTCTGGAATGTGTTCTTTTTTCAAATATGTTCTATTTGGGTAATCCTAATAAAATGAAAGAGGAATGTAAAGGTTCAGCAATTGGCTTTTAAAATCAGTTTTCGTGGCATCTTCCACTTATTTGTCATCTTCCTGTGGCAAACAATTTTGACAATTTCATTTCTATCTGTCACATCCCAAACCATGAAAGCCTTTTCCACAGGATATACATGTTGGCACTGTCCCTCAAGAACACTAAGCAATGTGCTTTGATTTCATTGAACACATAATATTATAACTAATAGCAAAAAAACAATAAATCTACGAATCACAGTGAGGAAACAGAATGATTTGTTCTGGAATCAGCTGTTGGAGGAAGAGGCCAGTGGTTGAAAATGGAGCATGAAAAGGCGCAAACTGTGAGATTGAGTAGTGTCGATCTGACTACATTCTCCAGCATTCTCTAGAGATTTCATTTTAGGTACTCTGTAGTGTTACCTGAAGAAAAAAAAATCACATTTTAACCAATCATTCCATCAGTTAAGCTATCAGTGAAAGGGGTGCATACAGCATGCAGGATCCAGGTAATCCAACCCTCCCAGCTGGAGCCTGTAGGTGCTCGGCGTCGCCGTGAAGAAAGCCAAGTCTTTCTCAGCTTGATTCTGTGCAAGTGATGGCGGAACCTCCTTGGCTGATTCTTCAAACAAAGCCTCGTTTTCAGCTCGTGGATCTTGCACCAACACCAGGATGTTGTCATCCGTGACTCTGGACACCTTCGCATACTCCCTGCTGGTTTCCGGAGCCCCGGACTTCTCTGCATGGTCGCTGTTCTCTTTCCATTTCGGTAGCAAGGACAGTGCTCCATCTTTGTTGACCTTGTGAATCTCCACGTAATCCAAAGGTTTAGTGGCGATAAAGGGGGTCTTCTCCTGGGGCAGCAGCCAAGCCGTGTCTCGGTCAGTCTTGGAATTGGAGCTTCCCACCTCCCCCTGCTCGGCTGCCTTGTCCCCCTCTCCAGTCTTAATGGTTTTAGAGGATTTTAAAGCATCTTTCCCTGCTTTGTCCAACAAAGTGGCTGGTGCGCCTGCAGGGCCCACGGCCAACTTGCACACGTCAGCGATGCTGTGGTAAGAGGACTTAGGGTTGTGCTGGCTGGCCGGCGGTAAAGGCCATGTTGAAGATTTGGACCCAGCAGCGTGAAAGTAGGGGATTCTGCCTTTCACATTGATGCCCTGGGGGTCCCAGGCACGGGTAACAGTTGCTTCAGGATTCTCTGGCTTCTCAATGACCTCAGGAACTTGGAACGTGGGGGGATTGGCCCGGGGTTCCTCGCACTTTTCAGACAAAAGGGAAGGGCTGTCACAGCTTCCGCGGCCAGAGTCATTGTCAGGATCCAGATGTGGGGGTTTCACGCCTTGACCTGGGTGTTCTTTCGAGTGGACTGGCATTAGCTGCTGGTCCTCACTGTCATCGACTTCCAGAAACTCCACCAGCAAGTCCTCACAGTCAGAAGTGGCAGGAAAGTCTTGGCATCCCAAGGCACTCAGTAGTTCTTCAGACTTTCCCTTCTGTGAACAGACACAGGAGAGACGGCGGTTACCTTCCCAGCATCTCACATCAGCATCACATTACCACGAGCAGGTGGGATGTGGTAACAGCCTCACAGAATTTCCCAGCCCTCAAACATCTGTGTGCCGGGCCACAGAGGAATTGTAGAATCACCTTCCAGATACTGTTCGTGGAATATATTTCTTTAAGTCAACTCATGATTTTAGCTTAGCCTCTCTTAAGCAATAATGATCTTGGGCATTAATGGGCAAGGAGTCTACACACATATAATAAACATAAAACTATTAAATAAAACAAGTTTGTGAGACATCCAAACCCACAGTGCTCATACATGCATTTGACATGTTGGGGCTCCTTGGCAGAGCTGAGGTTGTGGCCTCCTGACCCCCTCTGCCACTTTCTCAGGTCTGGCAATAGTTAAGTTGATTCTTGTCTCTCACTCTTCGTTCTATTTCTTTTCCCTTTCCTTCTCCTCCCTCTTCCTGTCCCACTTTTCCCTTTTCTTCCACTCCATTTCCTCTCCCTCCTTCTCTTCCTCCTAATCCAATCTTCTCCCTCCCATCCTCCTCCTCCTCCCTCTCCTTCCTCCTACTCCATTTCTCTTCTCATTTTCCCCTCTTCTCCTGGATTGATCGTCTGACTTAGGTCAGGTACCTGTCTTTGTCACTTATGACAGGGTACGTGACGCTGGGACACCTGCTCCCTGCACCTCAGCCGCTCCATTTTAAAAATGGGGATACTACTACCCATCTGGGACAGTTCTTTTGGGGATTAGGAGTAACATAATTAAGAATACCAAAAATTTTTTTGACACCAAAAGTAGCTGTTTTACCATCAAATCTCGGTGGCTGGCAGGCTGAATTGCGAGCTAGACAGTAGTTAGTTTAGTTAGCGGAGACATTCGTGCAGATTCTGTGAGGTCAATACTAGACTGGGTAGTGGGGTGAGAGCACTGGACCAAGAGCCCAAACTCCTGGGCTCTAGTTCCTCTGACATTTGTAAACAAAATGAATGCAGACAAACCGAATTTTCTGGGACTCACTTCTCATATTCCGACACTGTCAGACTCACAGCAGCTGGGTCGAGTGTATTTGCTTTCATGTACAGGTAATTGCTTTTCTATGTGTCAGTGTTAAGCTTAAAAGTCAAATTGACATATAAATTGAAAGGATGTATTTCAGCCTGGACAGAAATTAAAAATTTTCTAGCCCTTCTTTTCATTCAAAACACTTACATTTAATTCCCTCTAGAATCAGCCTAAATGGGCCCTAGCAAACAGCAGGCCCCACTGTTATCAATCCAGCCTCAACTGGGTGCTCAGACTGAGCAATGCTTGTGATAGCATATTCTGCTATTATGACTTTATGTAAAGAACATTCAAGTGGAAGCTTTTACCAATGTATGATAAAGGGGGCGGTGGTGGGTCCCTGGTTTGTATTAATCAAAATATTCACCCTCTTTATAAATTGATTATTTGTACAAAATGTTTATCTCTGTGCTTATGAGTGGACCTGGTAAATCTAGCAAGCTTTGCTACATGTTTTCACGTTTTCTAGGCTTTCTTTCCTTGCCCTCTGCCATTTAGTGTCTGAAAGCAAGCACCCTGATCCGTTCCCCATCTCTCTGTTAACACACACCGTGAGAGGAGAGTCAGCCCGGGAAGGCTGAGTCGCTGGGCACTGTGCGTGGGCATGAGGAGTTAATTGTCACAAAGCCAGGGAGACACACTGCGTTCTCTGCCTCTGGCACTTACCTCCAGCAGATGAGTGTCAAATCCTTTTATTTTTGGCCCAGGAACCGGTGGAAAGATGCAGGTCACCATGCTGTAAAATAATTTGTGAGATTGGCTAAGTGACTCATTTTTGACTTTGTAATTTTTGAAAGATTGGTATTATCTCTAAATAGCTGCTACATGGACCATGGGAGGTAGGAGTTAGAGTTTTGAGGCTACATGAAACTAATAATCAATGACGAAGATAATTAGTAATTACAGTCTGACATTAAAGTTAGCTCTAATTGAGGAAGCTGATTTTGATGTTAGTGGATTATTTGGTTCTCTTGATTTTAGCTCTCTTGTCAGATTTTTGTTGTCATATTTTACAACTACGAACTGCTGTTTGATAGAAAGAGCATTAGCCTCAAATGAATCCATTTTTCTACTTTTTCTAGCATTGATAAAAGATATTTTGTGGGCAAACACACTACGACTAATGGCTAAAATTAGGTGCTTGGATTATTTGTAGGTTTCCATCATCTTTGTATTATCTTTTTTTGCTGTTATTTCTGAAAACCATTGATTGGGAGGAGGTTTGAGAGACAGTGAAGTACCTATAGCCCTTCAAAGCCACTGCCCAGACAATCATCAAACAGATGACAGTAGAAAGAATGGCCACAAAGATCCACATGGTTGTATCTCTCATGGTGAGGTCTAAAAAACAAACAGCCAGAAAGCTTTGATCACATAGAGCATTATGAAAAACAAATAAACCTAATGAATGAAACTTTTGAACCCAAGAGGTTTATTTCCCCATCTATATCTCTTTTGATTTAAACAGCAATCCAAACAAAGAATGACAGGTCTGATTTTTGTCAATATTATTAATATTTGAACATGTTGCATATATTTTATAGTACTCTACAAATTTCAAAATCCTTTCACATGTTCTTTTATTTGAGCCTTAAAGAGGAAATCCAAGGTCACATAGTCACTTGCAGTAATAATAATAAAAGCTAACATTTATTAAGTTCTTATTAAAAGCCATCAATAGAGTTAAGCTCTTTACACGTGTTGCCTCATTACATAGATAAGAAAACTGAGACTCAAAGAGTGATTTACCCATGACCATATAACTATAGAGCTGCAGTCTGGGGTTTGAACCCAGACTTTCTGCTTGCAGACCTTGTGCTTTTATTTAGTAAGAGCCAGTACGGGTACTAGATGCATGTCCTGGTTTGCAGTTCAGTGCTATTTCCAGCATGCCAAGCCAATGAAAGAATGGAAGCCCTAATGCTTTGGTCAGGGAACTTGTCGGAAGAGCTACACTTTGCAGTGTGGTTCTGGGAAAGACCCCTAACTTTGCTGAGCTTTGGTTTCCTCACTTTTAATTCCTAATGGTAATTATATAGTCTATGAATACCTGAAAGGGTTGGGAGGACTCAACTAGGTAAAGACTTTGTAAACTGAAAAGTATTTTTGAAACACAAGATAAATCATTCCCCTATGGAATACAAGCTACTGTGTTAAGGCACTTCGTTGGAACCGAGTGCATCTTATATACTATGCCTTGACTAAGAGACTGGCGTGTCAGCTCATGCCTTTGAGATGGGATTCAACCTTCTAAAACCTGGAAGAACTAGATGATAACCTTAACTGGACCCTCCAAATGACAGGGGCAAATGGTGGGGGCAGAATGACTGACTATCAAGCCCTTTGAGGCATCCCAGGCCCACATCTGTGGCTATATCCTAGAAACTGCTGCTCATCAACAGTAATCCAGGGAGCAATGCTTCCCTACAAAATGTCTTTGTATTCAGTAGAGAGATTATAAACCCACCTCTGCTATTCTTCTGGCTAAGGCTCAAAAATCGTTTCTCTAGTAGTAGTTACTATATGCAAATTTACCATTTAAAAAATATTTAGGAATATAAGCAAAAGGGAGCCAAGACACTCACCACTAGGTATCTGGATGGAGCTCTCTGGGCTCCACGCACTCCAGTATCCGTGGTCTGGCTTGCAGCGAACCTGGACAAGGTACTTCTGTCCTGGATATAAACTGAGAATCTTAAACTGTGTTTGGTGCCCAGCAAAGTGGGTCTAAAAGGAATAAGAGAAACAGAAGTCACTTCTGACTTTTATTATGAAGAAAAATAATTTCTCCCTAAATAATAAACTGTGGGAAGAGTTAGGATAGATGATCACATGTAGAAGATACTCTATTCTCACCATTCCACTCCCTGAGCCCTATCCTTTTCTCCATTTAAAAATTGATCACGTGAAAATTGAACAGGTTTTTTTCTCTCTCCCTTTGGAACTCTTTTTCAGAAATACAAATATTCTGCCCCCTACCCTATACTTTATGGAAAACAACCAGTTAATAAATGTAAATGGGATAATAAAGTTGGAAAATTATTTTGTAAACCCTAATGAAATAACTGATTCAAAGATGATTAATTGGTGTTAAAGCCACTGGATGGAAGAGACCTGGGCATTTGGGTATGTTAAATTGACAGTGTACAAATTAAATGTGACTTTATAATCAAGGGGCAAGGTTGTCATCTCCCCAGTCTAGGGGGCAGTTTTAGCGTCATTTATGATGGGTCAACCAGATGGTTTGTTTCTTCTGATAACATCCAGTATGAAGTATATGATATCACCTCTGAGGTATTCTTGCTAAAAATTTGCCTACACCTAATCAAGGCTTTAGATCTAATGTACAGGAAATGTAGGGGCAGAGAAATTAGCTGAAATGATCCTACAAAGAACTAATTAGACAAATGAAGAAGGTGGGGCATTCTATGGGACAAGTTTCCTGAGTGCATTGAATGGAAGGGATATGACAACCAGCCATGATGTGTAGTCCTGCAGTAGATTCTGGCTTTAGCAATCTAGCTATTAAAGATAGTTTAGAGTAATTGGGAGGAATTAAATTATGGACTGGCTAGTAGATGGTATTAAGAAATTTTAATAATTTCCTACATGTGATCCTATCATTTTGGCTATGTTTGGACATGTTCTTTTTAAAAAAATAGGCATGTACTAAATGATTTAAGGGTAGACTATCATAATGCCTGCAATTTACTATTTCTTTATGTTGAAGCATTATAAGGTGAAGAAAAACACAGCCATTGGCTGTGGACCAGTTACACTGAGATTCTCCGTGCTTCCCCCACCCCCAGTGCCATTAAGTACTCTCATGGGTGTCGAGATCTAAGATGTATTGAGGGAGGCAGGTGCAGTGCAAGGGGAGCCCTGGGAGAGTGGTGAAGATGAGCCCCTACAATTCCAACAGAAGGGAGAAGGACTTTCCACATCTGGGTGCATCACATCTGCATTGGGAGGCTGATATAGTAGCCCCCCAAATTAGGAGAAATGACCTGTTCTCAGTTGTGAGTTCTTCATCTTTGTGAAAGACCATGGTTCCTTCAAAAATCTTATGGACGACTCACCTCCCATTCAGCTGCTTTCTCGGGTTTTAATCTGATTTCATACTGGAGTGTGAGCCAACCAGATCTTACATCAACCAGGGTGGGTGGAAACCATTTCATCCACAGATACGGTTTTCTGTCTTCTGGCTGTTTTATTTCCAAAGTCAGGTTCACAGGAGGGTCTGGTTCAACTATAGATACACAGGAAGATTCAGTAGCACTCATTGCTTGTGCCTTTTATTTGACTTTACCATTTTCTGTCATGAATTGCTTTTCTGGAGTAGCTCACAGTACTATAAGGCCCTGGAAGACAAGGGCCATGTCTTCTGCCTCTTAGTATGTGATCAATCACATCTGTGCTCGATGATGAGGTTTGGATGGTAAGCATAACAAGCAGCTGAGATTTCATTCTTTGCATGTTCTCCCCTTTCCACCAGCCAGGTCACACAGCTACCCCAATAATGGTCATAATCAGTGACCAGGTGATACAAATTGGGCTAGGATTTGCAAGTGAGAATTAGGGTGGAAGATTATTAAGAAGGGATTTCAAATAGCTTATTTCCCTCAGCTAGAAGTAAGATTATCCTTGGTGATACATAGTTTTTGTGAATGATTTATTAATAATCATAACTTTGTAGGTAACAGGTTTATAGATTCCATCTTTGCTTCAGAAGTTACATTTTACATTCACTAAATATGTTACTTTCTATGGCGAATGGAATCCACTCTCCAAGATATTCGATTATTAAAATGTGCATGGAGGTCAAACTTTTTGGCAATGGTCCTTTCATAACCTCATACCAGCCCCTCCTCCCAGAAAGATTATTTTGAGTATACTTGCTAAACAAATATCAGTTAACTAATATCAATTTTAGGTTAAACACGTACTGAGCAATGTCTCTGATTAACCACAAATAAAATGTTCAGGATGACTCCTTTTAAGCCAACCTTCTCAACTTCAGCACTGCTTGGATTTGGGACCAGATAAGTCTTTGTCATAGGGGGCTGTCCTGTGCATTGTAGGATGCTTAGCAGGATCTCTGGGCTCTAGCCACTAGGTGCCAGCAAAACCCTCCTCCCTCCTTCCCTGGGCGTGACAATCAAAATCGTCTCCAGACGTTGCCTGCTGGAGACCAAATAGCCCCCAGTTGAGAACCATTGCTTTCAAATGTCTTCAACATAGGTAAATACTACTCAACAACAACAAAAACAACCAAGCAATCTATCTCTGAGGAATTATCTGCCAATGTTGCCATTCTGTACTGCCAGTTATCACTGGATGAGAGTCAAGCTGTTAGAAAATGTACTGTTCACTTTAAAATGAACTTCCATGGCCTGTCACCAACACCATATAATGCAGGTTATAGGAGGACTCCATGGACACTTCTTATATCATTTTTAAAACATGGTCCAACACATTCTTTCACCAGAGAATTTGTTTTATAGAGTCTGTGTGATTTGATACATACTTATAGTTGTCACTTTTTAAACACACCACTCCTTCTGTGAGCCTCTTTCCTTGTGGATCACATTAATTATAACAGTTGCTTGTTTGAGAACTTTTCTTACTTTCATTGTTTTGTCCTCAAATATGATAACATTAGAGGGTAAAGTAATTTAAGAAAGAGCCCATGAAAATGGAATTATTTGGCATTTAGCACCTTAAAGACTTCATGTCTCAAGTAAGTTTATACAACCAGAATTTATTTCATTCCAACTTGCCAGTGAGATTGCCTTTCTGATTTTCTTAAACTAAGAACAAATTCAGTTTCTACCCCATGCTCATTCCAACGAATTGTTCCAGGGGGAGAAAATATTCAAGAGTGAGTGCCAGCTGGTATTGGAAGCTTTTCTAGTTTTTAAAGGTCAACCACTTATAACATGCCAATGCAATGACATGGCAGTGTCCCAGGGTCCCAGCCTGATTTTCCTTGTTGGGTGGTGGTAAGTACATCAAGAACACCTGGGTGACCCTGAACCTAATTAGCTACTTTATAGCTTATTATCCTAGATGAGGGCTGAACTCAGCCCTGGCCAGCCATCTTTTGTCCTAGGATTCACTTTGCCATCTTTGCTAAACCACAAGGCCACCAAGGCTATGCTCAATTGCCCAACAGCTCAATGTTGAAAACTAAGAAGCATATCTCAGATTGACTTTGTTCTACTTTGCTGATTAATGGCTTATCCAAACATTATACTTGTGATCTTGGCCTTTAGCCTGATGCTCAAGTAACATTATTTACCCCAACTTTTTATTTGTAACATAATAGCTCTGGTATTAAGAAGTGTGTGTGTCTCTCTGTGTGTGTGTGTGTGTGTGTGTGTGTGTGTATTCATACATATGAAGAAAGAGTGCAAGAGAGAGAGAATTGAGATTGGGGCAAAGCAATTGGATACAGAACCAGATGAACCCCTTCTCAGAGCTGCCTTTCCATGGAGAAGCTCTGTCTTCCATGGGAGAAAGAAAAGAAATCCCAGCTTGCCATGGAAGAAGGGGACATCAATTGCAGGGAAGGCAGGAGAGATTGACAAGGGGATCACACATGCAACATTCATTCTGGATGCAAGAAGATGGGATCAGTGTTGGCGATACAAGGAGACCAAGTGCCAGCCTCATAGTCATGAATGACTCAATCAAAACTGATTTGGAATGCTCAGTTGACAAGGATATTGTGATTTTTCTCATCTTTCTTTTTGGAGATCCATCCAAAAGCCAAGAAGACTCAAACCGAGTTTGACTTTTGGTTAATAACATAATGGAGTAACAACTTCCTCACCCACTCCCCTTCCCCTTACCTATGTAAGTCACGTCCACATAAAGTGGGTCTGAGGAGCTGCTTCCCATCTGGTTGGTGGCGTTCACCATGATGATGTACATTTTCCATATGGAGGTGTGCTTCTTGCTAAAGTAGCAGGAGTTGGGGCCGCTGGTTTTGTAGTCTGGACATTCATGGGTCAGTGTCTCACTGCAATGAGTAATATATCATGACTGAATAAGAAAGTAATAAAAGGAGTCTAGTTTTTTCTTAATAGATCAATACCACTGGCTCTGGGGGACCAGTCATTCCAAGTGCAAAAGCCAGAGCCAATGAAGGGCTGCACGGGCTTCTGTGCTCTGCCCACATCAGTGGGGAGTGAGAGAAGAATGTGCTGAGAAGTTTATTTTAGGGCCTCAAGTACTCTGCTTCTCATCAACTCTTCTATTCTACAGGTGCTTTTGTGGGCTTTGTGATATATACCCCCTGCCAACAAACCCTGGAGCTTCCCATGGCCAAGGCACCACCATACGCAGGGCACTGTGGTTGGGTCATCTCAGGGAATTTTACCTGTGTGCACACACACAGTGAGACCATTGCCAATGCAGCATTTATTGCACATGTTGAGTTACATTTAATTAAAACAATTCAAGAGAATATAAAGTAATGGCAGTACCTTGCAGACTGTACTAGGTCAGCAACAGAGTGAAGCGACTTTGAAAGGAGACATTTCAGGCCCCAGTGGCTCAGTAGGCTGCTCACATGTAGACTTAGGAGCCTCAACTCAAGGCACACTGCACAGATACGAAGGCCTGTTCGATTTTCGTTGTGTTTGAGTTCCTGAACTCTGTTTACATGTTGCCCCTTTGGCTCCCAGCTGTAACAACAGCCTTGTGTACAAATGAAGTGCAGTCATTGGAAAGTGGGCCAGCTGCCCCTGCCAGTAACTAAATGTTTTCTTTTTTTGGGGAAGGATACAGCTTTCTCAGGATTTCCAAGAGGGTCTCATTGTGAACAAATAAACTGCTCACACAGAGATGATCTCATTTAGTGCTCAGGGCAACCTGAGGTCCAAACTTGCTTTCTAGGAGATTGTGAGTCCTGGATCAGTGATGTACTAAGCAAAAATCCTCACCTTCTTTTCTGTACAAGGTTCATTATTTTCTTGAACATGAAACAAGTTTGAAAACCTAATGCACCATGTTTGGGAAGGATTATTACATGGTGTCATTTTGTATAATCCTCTATGTTGTAAAAGTAACATGTTTACTAAAAAAAATTATAAATGGCACAAGGTTTGTAGATAAGCATCTAGGATTAACTAGCACTTAGGAAACACTTATAAAGGGCCTTGGACTGGAACCTAGGCTGTGACAGTTAGGTTATTTGAAACATCACTAAAATCGTATTGCCACTGTGTGGCTGATGACCTAATGAAGATTGACAGAGCTCGTAAAGGACGTTAACAGGAGATGTGGGCATGGCCCTTAGACTGCTCTCTCCCCAGTGCTATGAGCCCTACCGGTGTAAATCCAGGAAAGTGTTATCATTGGAACTCAGAACCAGTGTTCCTTTGGCCTGGAGAACAGGAACATTATGGGGTTTGATAGGAGAGAAGAGAACTTTTTACCCTTCCTTGTGGTAAATCAGCGTGTAATTGGTGGGAAGTCCTCCATCTGTCCCCGGTTTCCACCAGCAGGTGAATGTTTCCTTTTCGGGAGAACGACATTTAGAGATCTCAGGTTTCCCAGGAGCTGACTGTCCTAGAAAAGCCAGAAGCCGCTGGAGTCAATATTGAGGTCCATTCAACCCTTGTACCGTTCTGCTGGGGACAGAAGCAGATTGAGGGGACCCAGGCCAGTGATGAAGTGTCAAGGTGAGTGGGCCTAGGCTGGGGTGCTCAGGGATGCCAGAGTGTCAGCATCCAGGAACATTCCTCTGTGGGCTGCCCTGACATTGGCAGGGCTCTTAGAGAGAGATTTGCAGTGTGTGTGTGCGCGCGCGCGCGTGTGTGTGTGTGTGCGCGCATGCATACTTTGAGGTGGACATACCAAGAGCCCACGTGAGGACCAGTGGCTAACTGAAAGACGTCAACAAAGAGTGAGCCTTGACAGCAAGATGGATGGATACACATGGATTTAGGAGTACGTGGCCCTTCTGTAATGCCATGGAGTCTGTACAGCTGATACCCTCCCACAGCATAGGGGCGGCCGTGTAAAGAATCCTTCCCCAGGTACAAGCAACTTGCGGACACGTTGCCCATGCATCGAGCACTGGCACTTCTCCACTCAGCTCAACAATCTCCATCTTCCTGTGGTCCCCACGCAACTAACTCAGCCTGCTCCTGATCTGTTCATTCACCATTCACTGTGCTGCTGATGCTCCCTTTATCTGAGCATCCCTGGCTCCCACCTTCCTCTCTCCCCTTATCTCCTCCTTTCTTCCCCTTCCCTTTTCCTTGATGCCATTCAGCTTTGACCTTATGACCCAGTCTCACAGTCTATCTTCCCATCCCTTTTGTCCCCATTTCTGAATCTTGATTTTTAGTCTATTTTTTCCCCTATATTTCCTCTTCTTTCCTTGCGTCTTTTTGTGGTGAGATAGTAGAGTGGCCGGGGGCCATTATTATCTAAGGGCTGTACCCGGCCCCAGGCTAGAAGCCAGGAGATCTGAGGTGGTGTGGAAACACAATGTTAAGGGATAGAATTGTTTGGCTGCTTAATCCTCAAAACTCTTGGCTAGCTCTCTCGGGTCCCCATTTCTCTTGCTTGGCTGGCAGGTCCAAAGAGGGACAGAGTGACCCTGGAGATTTATCCCTATGCTGATGGGCTGGGGAGGCCAACCACATGCACCCGTATGACTCCAGCTGATTGATGCTCTTCTTGCCTAGCTGGACGCCCTTGCACTCAGTCGGGAAGTCAGGGGAAGAGAAGACGGCTTTCAGCTGTGGGTGGTCTCAGCAACTCAGGGAGTCCTGCTTCCTCCCACGCTCCTTCCCCAATCCCTCAGGCCGTCTCCTAGGCCAGAGCTGGGCACCCGATCAGAAAGAGCAAGTTTGGAGGAGACCTCAGTGAGGGGCAACAGTTGGGAAGAGTGGTCTCTTGGCAAAGCTGGCCAGAAAGAGGAATTTAAGGAAGTGGCATGCACAGGCTGGGGCCCAGGAAACCAAGCTGGAGTATCCACTGGAGCCGGGCTACCTTCCAGCTCCCAGGCCCTGCTGAACACTGTCCGTGCCAGCCAGGTGCGATTCTGCCAATACCTGTGACACTGTCTGTCCTCCAGGGATAATTTCTTTAGGGTAACGTGGTGTTGGGAGTCACAGCAAAAATGCAAGGTTTTTGCTTTGTTTTTGTCAGGGGAGGGAGGAATGTGTGAAGTAGAAAGAAAAGTTTATTAAAAAAAATATCCAAACCCTATGGTTCAATAATGATTACACACTTGGAAGCCAATTAGAGAAATCATTGGTAATTTGAGTATTTAGTTTCCCTTGTGGGTTATTCTGACCTCTGTTTTACCTTTTATTTCTCCCTAAAAGCTTATCTTTTTTGCATTTTTACTGGTTATTAAAAGTACCTTTGGAAAACTAAAGAGAGGAAGGTAGATTTGTAAAATTACAGTTCGTCAAATGCTCCCTTCACCCGCTGTAGAAAACTGTTAAATTTAATGGACTGTTTCAATGCATAGAAACATGGAATAAACCACACAGGCACCACACATGCATGTATGAAGACACATGCCCTCTCCCCTAGCCCATATCAGAAGTACATACATGCACACAGAAATATACTCAGCCACATGGAAGTACACACTAGTACACATATAGGTACACACAGAGAAATACACAATGTAGAAATACACAGAGGCATGCACATAGACATATATCCATGCACAGAAATATACATATACAAGTACACACAGAGGAGCATTTGCAATCAGGCACTTACAGAAATATACCACAGGTACACATAGAAATCTGAACACTCAGAAATGCACAGGGTAGACACACAGAAATGTACATATACGGGCACCCACCTGCTCAGTTAGCTGTGGACTTCATTTCCCTGTTAGCACAGATAACTGAGTTGGCTGTACCTATTCCCCACTATGTAGTATCAATCTCTTACATCTCATTATGGTTTTCCAAAGATTTTACACATACAGAATTTCATCTGAGGCAGAGGAGACATCACTATCCTCACTTTGAAAATTTCGAAACTTGAAGAGACTAGATAACTGGCTCAAGATCACACAGCTAGTGAGTGGCAGAGCCTGGATTAGAACTCAGGTCCTGTCATACTTAGAGCCATTTCATTATACTCCCAAAGTAAGGATGGAAGGCAGAGAGCCTAGTGAAAAGATTTTTCATGAGTTGCATTAATTTTAATGCAAAAATATTATGAATAATTTAATAGCAGCACATGACACAAACATTTTCATTTCTCATAACAGCATTACAAGAAGACTGTGATGGACTCTCAAGTCTCTTGACAAACACCCTGAGCAATGAAAGGGAGTGGGATGGTCTCTTACTCACCATTCAGAAGGCTGGTGTTGAGAAAAAGTAGCAGAATGAAAACAGTTGTGGATGCCACATTTTCCTTCATGTTGGCTCCCTTTTCTTGCTACAGGAAATGTATCAGAGGTTCACTAGAAGAGAAGGCACCAGGCAACTTTTGTGAAATGATAGTCTGCTCAGGCACATGCACCACTTTATTCTTGCTCCTTGCTTAATGTGAATGACAAAGCAGGAGAAAGGAATGTAGGAAAATGTAACAGGGCTGGATGGCTTGGCTTAGAAGCATCGATTCACACATGCTGGAATAAATTCCACCAGCAGAGGTCCTCAGATGACAACGCAGAGAGTTCTAGGGTCACTGCGGCAGTCAGCTCCTTTGCACACAACCCGAAGAAAAATTGTTCTCTTTCCACCTGGTAGTCACCTAACCATATATCACCCATTTTATATGACATAGATTGCACGCCCTATAAGGCCACCACAAGGAGGGCTCTGGCTCTGATCCACTAGACAAAAACAATCGAGGCTGAAAAGTCAGTACCCTCAGTACAACTCCAACCTAAACCTGTTGAGACCTCCTAGTTAGGGGGCTTCCCCTGAAGGTTCAGGCCAAGAAGCTTCTAGAAGTCTTCTGGGCTCTGGGCATGACCATGAAGCGAACTACACAATGAACTCTAGTAAACCTCCACGTGGTGTCTTTCTCTGTTTTGAAAATCTCCATAGACGAGATAAACTCCAGTAATAATTTAAATCCCTTGGGTTCAGAGTATTAATTTTGAACGTGCAGGGGTTGGGAGTTTTGAACAATTTATTATTAACATTATTATTTTCACCCTTGGAACAATGTTCAAAGTCTCTAAATGTCCTAAGAGAAAAGGATTTTTAAAGACATTTTTAAAAAAAGGCTCAATTAGTCTTGTTAGACTTCAAACAACTCTCAGAGAACAATAGAATTGATGAACTAAGTATAAATTCTCAGAAATACATGGCTTAAATTTTCCTTTAAATTTTTATTGCTTTTTTTTTTTTAATCAAGAGAAGAACATTTAGGGTCAAAGCTGCCCATCTTGGAACATTTGAAATGATTGAGTGTTGTTTGATGAGCCCCTAAAAAAACAGCCTTTGCCATGCCTCCTGTCCAAAGGGTAGTTTTCCATCTGCCAGACAGACACCAACTAATGGACAGCTTCTTGAAGGCTTTCTCCACTTGCTACTACTCCCCGCGAGACACACTCAGAAATCTTAGTGGCAATGGAGGTCTAGGGTACAAAAGCACCGCTGAATAGCTCTCTCATAATGAGGCTTGAGGTTCAGTGATGGGTCCTAAGAGGCTACCAGTATCTGGTTCTTTGGGAAACCTTCTAATTGCTCTTGCAGGATTCCTTCCAAATGCCTTCCCCAGTTGCACATTCTAAACCACTTGCTCCTTCTAACACCTCAGGGTCTTCTAATTTCAATCAAGTGGTTAAAGGCTCCCAGTGGGTTTCAGATAATGCCTCCCACTTCTGAGGCACCTACTGTGGGCCAAGCACTGGGCTAAGTACCTCAATCATTTAGTGTTCATTTTGCCCACCCACCAGCCCCATGAGCAGGTGCAGGTTTTAACAGATGAGGAAACTGAAATACAGAGAGGTTTAGTAACTTGTCAGTCATGTGCCTGTGGGGAAAAGACACCTGGCAAATCTGACGCCTCTGATAAATTATCCCGATTTGTGAAAAGTCTGTGATGGATGGTGCAATTATTCCCTGAGAGACAGTGGAGACAAAATCAACTGATCCAGCAAAGCTTGGGCGGGCACTGCATCGAGCAGGGGCGGGAGAGACGGGGCTGAGAGTGGCCATCTCAGCTACTGCCCGGCTTATGCCCGAGGACGTCAAACGCTGGGGATCTCACTAGTCCAGCTTCCTTGGGTACATTAGCCCTGGAAGCATGCTTTGTCCTGGTGACCTGGTGATCTCAGCCTGGCTTGGAGAAGGGATTCAACCCACTGGCTGAGACTTCTATAATATCCCTCTCTTGAGACTTCCCTGTTCTTTTGGGCATTGCATCAACATGCTATAAATCATACCCTTCTGGTGAGGTCAGGTGCTATCCAGACAGCTCTGCCAAAGCAGGGATCCACATGTCTTTTTTTGCGAAAGAATCTCTGGGATGGGAAGCAGAGCGGGACAGGCGAGAGCAGATATTGTCATCAGTTTAAAACCCTTCATGCCCTGGAGCAGGATCAAAGACCCTCGCTTAAATAAAGTTTTCCTATGAAAATGCTTTCAGGAAGCATTTTATGGACTAACAAGAAACATCTTTCTTCCAGGATTTCCTAAGATATATTCTGGAATCTGGATACTACCATGCACTTTTTAATGCCTCAAACCCCTTTGCCAGAAAATTAGACAAATTCATAGTACTATTGTGTTATGTTTCAGTAATGATTTCCCAACTCATCCTGAATCTTATTCTCCATCAGAGAAAACACAGTGGGGTAATTATATCTTCAGAGAGAAAAATAATCACAACGGCTCAGCCTGAAGGGAGCTATGCTAAATGTTAACCCTGGTCACACATGGTGGTGTTCTCGGCGGTAAGCATCCCTCCTGCATGTGCACTGGCCACTTTTCATGGCTGGCAGACACTAGGTTGGGGATAACTTTGGTTTTGTCTTCCTGAGTCCACCAGCCATTGCACACAGGATCTTGATTAGGGCAGGCATGGCCCTCCCAGCCCCAGATGGGACTGGAACACACAATGAGGGTCTGCAGCCTGCTTTTCAAGATGTTATAGCAGCATCTGGCTCCAAATGCTAATGGAGTCTAATTCACAAAGTCAGCCCTGCACCTGCACCTCCAGCCCAAGGACTATCATCTTAGGCCTCACTCCTCACCAGCTCCTTGGGTGTAACTGTGGTTTAAAATGCAAGGCACAGATCTGAATGGCGGGTCCCTAGCAAGTCCCCAGCCCCTCACCTTGTCCATGGCTGCAGCCTTGACTTTCTTCTTCTCGATCCTCAGAGACGCTCCCATCTGAACAGTTCTCCCTATTACCTTATTTAAATATTCCTTCCAGCCATGCTCTGTCGCACCATGGTATGAGCCCCCTCATACCATGCATTAATGCTCCCACTGCATTAACGCTGGTCCTCTCTTTCCAAAAGCCTCCCTTCATCATCCTCTTCCATTATGCCAAGTCTCTTCCCAAAAGGCCAACCGCCGAGGACGAGGTCCAGCAGTTTACTATGCCCTGTCAGCTTGCACTTTGGAGAAACTAGAGCGACCCTCCCCAGAGGGAGAATCAGGGCCACAGTCCCATGGACTGAGCTGACTACAACAGACACTAGGGAGGGCATGCCAGAGCAGAGACGCAGTGTGGCCTCCTGAGGGTTAGAAAACCAAACAAACAGATCTGAGCTCCCAACACACAACTCCCCACTGTCAACCCCGCATCCTCTGTGGTACCCACCCCGGGACTTCGTCTGCATGTGCCGGCCCATCCAGTCCCTGAGCCAATCCCGAACGCCAGCAATCTTGGCCCCGCCCTTCTGTGGGACTTGCTTCCACAACTGGTATCAGGTGGTCCCCTGAGCTGAGTGCAGGCCCCACCCTGTCCCATCGTATCTGCCACTGTTGCTCTAACTTTTTACTCAGGTTTAAACCCAGGGCCCGTGACTCTAGAAATGGACCGGGGATTCTGAGGGCATTTTTAGCTCTTGCAAGCCCAATTCCCCAATGAACAAGCAGGGTCCAATCCCAGATTTGGATTTCTTTAGACTGTCAAACATACGGCACAAACTGCAAGTATTATACAATCACATGCCACATAACTATGTTTTGGTCAATGATGGACTGCATATACAATGGTGGTCCCATAAGATTATAATACTATATTCTTATTGCACTTTTATATGTTTAGATATGTTTAGATCCACAAATACTTATCATTGTGTTACAGTTGCCTACAGTATTCATACAGTAACATGCTGTACAGGTTTGTAGCCTAGGAGCAATAGGCTATGCCATAGAGTGGACGTATGTAGTGGGCTATACCATCTAGGTGTGTGTAAGTAGACTCGAGGATGTTCACACAACAATGACATTGCCTGGCACATTTCTCAGAACTTTTATCCTCATCATTAAATGACACATGATCGTATGCTGCTCAATGAATTATCACAAAGTGAATAATATCCATGTTACCACTATGGTCAAGAAATCGAGTACTAATAGCACCCTAGAAATCCAACTTGTGCCCCTCCCAATCTCTACCCCCCTCCTCCCAATAGAAACCTTCTTCTGAGTTCTAACACGGCAGCTTGGTTTTGCCTACTTTTGAGCTTTATATACACAGAATCACACAACATGCATTTTTTGAGTGTGTGTGTGGCTGGCTTATTTTATTTCACATTGTTTTAGGAGTCATCCTTGTTATATGTAGATTTACATAATTCATTTTCATTTAATCTCATTCATCTTCATATTACACTCAATGAAATACCATTATTTACTCATCCTACTGTTGATGGACAGTTGAATTGCTTCCAGATTTTGGCAAACTTTTGGTTTTGCTGAGACTGATCAAGGCTTGCGTGGCAGGGAGGCCCTGCACACCTCACAACCACTCTGCGCCCCCACAGCTTCAGGTCTCTACTATAAATGGTTAGCACGCTAACTGCCACATCTCCTATGAACCTAAATTAAATTGCAAGTGCCTGTTTTGTTCCTAAAAATGCAGAAAATCTCATTTCTCGCAAACAGATTTTGAATACATTCACCCATTGCGTTAAGTGGTAGGCGCTGTGTTTAGCTGCTTCTTTTTTGGGGTCCTCTGCCCACTGGGTCTCCTTGTCTGCCCTGCCCCACCTGGGATAGATGGCCTGAGGCCAAAATAAGAGGGAGCAAAGCCCGCGTGTACCATTTTATTTCCAGGAGTCTGACTTTCCAATACAGAATGCCAACATTGAGTTTGGAAAACAAAGTGCATAATGTGCCCAGGGTGAAGAAACAGAAACAGTGGGGATTAGCTATCACACACCAGGCTAAAGATTAAGGCTGTTATACAAGCTCTGCCCTAAGTCAGTGGTCAATGCCTCTAGAATGAATAAATGAATCAATGAGGACTTAAAGGGGAAAAGAAACAGAA